AGAAAAGTCAACACAAATGAAGGACAATGGTCCATGGGAAGCTTTAAAATTGAGCCACTCAAATGGCTACCTTCCTGTGAGATAAAAAAATCCCAGGAAACTCTACAGTCATCAGCATATGAATAAAGCCACTCACAGGGAAACATCTCCTAGGCAAGCCCAACTCCTGGAGCAGGGCACTTTCCTACCTTCAGACCCCGGGGCAGTCTTCTCCCTGGCCACCCCCCCTCTGCCCTAACTGTTGCTACAGACCTCAAATGAGTCAGAGAAATGGTGTATAAAATGCTTACACAACTGAGTTTGGACACAAACATGGTGCAGAAGGATCGTCAGCAAGTCAGTTATCACAGCCCCAGGACATCTGGGTTAGTTTTATGAGTGTCCCCTCCTTGCTCTGGCCACACATTTCTAGGACACGCCTTCACTGATTCTGCAGTTGTTTGTTCACTCAGCAGGCACTGATGGAGCCCCCCTCTGTGCCAGGGACGCAGGGACAGCTCATTCCCAGCCTCCGTGTGGAGGAGTTCTGCCTCCAGCGGGACGGGGGAGTGAAAGGAAGACTCCCTTCACCCTCTCTTCAAACCTGGAGCGCCACCGACTGCTGCCCCTGATGAGCGCACAGCTCACTGCTTTCTCACCCACTGGAGCGCGAGCTTCCAAGCAGGAGCTCCCCGCTCCCCCTCTGCTACCTTGCCAGGGCCCAGGACACGTGCAGAACCAAACACATGCAGCAGGACCCAACAGGCCCCCGTCCTACGTACTGAGTGCTCACGCTGTGCCAGTCGCTTTACATACGTTACTTCACGTTCTAAGCAGGGAACCCAGCCAGCCACACACCTGATTCTTATTTTTCAGATGAAGGCCCTGAAACTTAGCAAGATGAGTTAAATGTGAAAAGGAGACCAGGGCAGGGACAGGGTTAGCACTTGGTGGGGAGGAACCCCAGCCTCCTAGGTGGGGCAAGGGAGAGAAGAGGATAGAGTGGGGTTTGAATTCACAGCGGCTCACAGCTGCCCAGCAGGCACGGTCTGGTTGACAGATGGACCTGCCTTGGAGGGTGTGTTACTCTCAAACTATACTCTTGGATTAACGTGGGTGCTTAGCTCTTCACCTACAGGGATGGCGAGGGCAGCACCGGGTTCAACATTCTCCATGACGAGCACCCACGGAGCCCTCGGTGCACCAGGCCCTGAGCCGCTTTTGTGCAGATCACCTACTGGTTTATCAGACCAAGGCTGGAGCCTGTGTGAAACAGGAAGTCCACGTTATAGAAAACGTGTGTGGACTGCAGGATTCCTACAGGTATTCACAGGATATGCAGAGGTGCTACACGATGCCTGAGTCCAGGGGACTGATCTCACAAACAGATGGGAATGAACTGAAGTTAGTTAGCATATCACTTCGTGCTTCTAAAAGCTTGAAAACTTAGTTCATTTAAGTAAGTCAAATAAGCTTCTTGAGATCAGACTCATCGTTCATTTACTTGACAAATCCTTTGAGTGAAAGGTGCCCACATCATGCCAGGCTTCGCCATTCAGAGCGCCTGCTTATTTACCAGACTTGGGCAGCTCCACCCCGGTTCCTATTCCCCAAGGACGCTTCTTTAAAGCTGAGGAGTTGCAGTGGCTCTCAAATGTCAGCAGCAGAACCCTCCCTGGGGCACAGACTAGGTGCCAGGTGCTGAGCTGGAAGATTCCCGTCCCTCTCACTAACCTCCACAAAAATCTCGTGTCAAGTACAGTCTGTGCCACGGCTGTGTAAAAGGTGTGGAATTTTACAATGGGAGCAAACTGCAGTTCTGTAGCTTAAAATGACTTAAAAAGCAAAGCTACACTGTTGTCCAGCGCCTGTTCTGGGGGCGGCATCACAGTACCATGGTGCCCAGACCTTCTTCCCTACTCTGGGGACATGTGTGGAGTCAGAGTCTGAACAGTCCTGATAGGAGTCCCTCGCGGTAGTTCAGCTCTCTGCATTCTACCAAATGCTTTCTCATATATTGTCTCACTGGATTCTGATGACAAATGCACGAGGAAGACAAGACAGAGATGGACCCTCTTCCCCAACATGGAAAAGAAGAAACTGCCATAGAAGATCTGGTTGCCAAGTCCTAAGGCCCACTTTAATTTTCTATCCTATTTCAGCCACCGCGTGACATGGAAGTTCCTCAGCCTTTTCAGGGCTCTGTTTCCTTAGCTGTACGTCAATCTTTCAGCATCCCTCTAGCTCTAAAAAAAAAAAAAAATCCAGGTTCTGTGACATGATTTTAGCTGAAAGATGAAGAACAAACCAATCTTGGCGATCCTGAAGAATATCTAGTCTTAATAAAGATACCGTGAAGTGGGGGGCTGGGCGGAGCTGCTGACCACGAGTGGGAAACTTCTGCATACTTAATTTTATAGCTTTGATTTAATCTCGCTGGACTTCACATCTGAAGAGGGCGTAGGCAGCAAAATGTTTCAAAGGCTTAAGAGTGGTGAGCTCGGGATTCTGAATTGCGAGTCGTCCAGCTCTGACTGGAGCTCTGCTCAAGCACAGGGGGCTTTGCCCGATGGCAATTTAGGTCAAACTCCTTACATTTTCATGAGGCAGCTGCAAGTTTTTGAAAATACTCCTGAGCTGGATTCAGAATAATTCCTTCTACTTTTGTCCTCTGTATTCCTCTCGTTAGTGGAAACTTTATCAGTTGTTTCTGCCTCACCGGAAACCATCATCCTTACGACCCCGAAGTTCTCAGTGTGGAAATGACTTCTGCTGCAAGCAGACACCTCTGCTTTACCTCCACGGGAAACTAGCAACCCAAACAACAAGACATCCTTGTTCCATGCAAACGGTTCAATCAGTTCAACAGAATGAAATGAAGAAAACGTGAGGAAAACAGAGGAGAGTTATCTCTGCGCAGAGCATCGGCTGGTCTTCAACTGTGTCTTCTGAGAACTCCATTCAAACATTATCACTATTCCAAATGTGTGGGCACGTGAGCCAAGCTGCCTGCAGGAAGTATCTCCCGCTTCGAACCCCTTATAAAAGTCACGGGCAGGCTGTGCTTCTTGTCTCACCAGCTCAGACCAAATCTCCGAATCTGATGTCCTGCTATGAGCAACCTGGAAGAACACTCTGGCTGTAGCGGAGAGGGATGTCTATGTTCAATTATGGGATTGGGGGTGGGGGCAGTAAGCAGTCTATCCTTAGCCGACCACGGTTGCTACGGCCAAGTCTCTAGGCACTTGTTTCAGCAGGTGCATCACGACATAAACTTGGTCTTTGTCTCTGGGTCTTTGGGAAAGAGCTAATCAGAATTTATTCAAGGCAGCAGAGATATACTTGGCACTGAGTCAGTATACTTTATGGGTTTCTGCGTCCCCTTGAGACAAAATTATGGAAAGGGGTAGAGGGAGGTGAGGGTGCCTCCTGGCCCCTAGGACTCTGGTGTCATTCTCTCCTGTAGCCCTTTTCCAAGGTTCTCAGTGACCGGGAGGCTCTCTGATAGGTCATCACCACTTTTTTTGGTAACCACGATCAGGGGATGTGAACTCTTGGAGAGTAACTCTCCACGGTCTTTCTTAGGGTGCAGAAAGGGACTCTCTGCTCTTAGCAGACTGCCACCTTGCTGGGGAGCATCATCGCCCCGCGGTGAGAGGTAACACAGGCCTCTTGCGGCACACATCTGCGCCTTGTTATGCTAGTGATTTAAAAGGCACGTTCCAGCATGATGTGTGGAATGGTAAGGGCACCACCGGCGGGTAAAGCCTTTGGGTTACGTGCGCCGTTGCTCTTCTGGTCACTGGTTATCTCTGATGAGTGCTGTTTATGCCCGAGCCTCATTTTAACTTTCTCCACTATTTTATAATCTATGAGGCCATTGGGGTCTAAGAACACTGCTCCCATTTATAACACTATTTCAATGGAGAATAAGCTCTGAAAAAACACTGCTTTGAATAAAGCTCACATTCCCCAGAAAATAGCCCCAGTGTGATTCAAATAGGCACGCATTGTGCACCGGGGCCCTCAAACCTGCGCGAGCACGAGCGAGCGGAGGACACGGGGAGGATCCTGCACTTGGGTTTATGGCTGAGACCAGACCGGAAGCTACAGCTCCGGGTACCTCTCGAATACCCCCGGGAGGGGTGAGCCCTTAATGTTATCACTTCTGTGTCTTGACTCGTCCCCATATAGGTGGGAATACATGGACTTTCTGTGCAGGGCATTCGGTGGATTCGGGGAACAGGATGCAGTCTTCATGGACCGTCACTACCTGGCATGAGCCCCGTGGGGGCATGTGACAACACATGGCACAATGACCCTCCTCTGGTAAGATCCTGCCCCAGGTGGTATCTCGTGGAAAACCAATCGCCAGAGAGCACAGGAGTGTGAGTTCAGGTCACACAGGACCTGGGTGAGGATCCCAAACCTCCAAGAGCCTCAGGCCAATTACTCTAGAGCTCTGAACCAGGACCCTGTCTGCCTGGTGCCAGCAACTGTCCTACCTTACCTTGTTCTGTGAGCGTGAAAAGAGAGGTGCTGGGCTTAGGGCCTCTCGTAAAGCAAAGGGCTTCGTAACTATTGCCTATCACTGTTACTACATTTTACTGTAGAGGAAAGAAACTTCTCAAAGAAGAACTCAAATTCCACCCCATATTACACAGGAAAGAACGCTGGTTTGGGAGCCATGTGGACCCTGGATGGAACCTCAACTCCACCACTTACCGGCCGCATGACCTTTGGGCAAGTCATTCTACCTCAATTTTCTCATCTGTACAATGGGCGCAAAAGCACACACCTCACAGGATGGTTGTAAGGTTCACACAAGACAAGGCACGCGGAGTGCCCGTAACACTACTTCTCGGCTGTAACGTGGCAAATGGTGAGGTCCCTGTTTCAAGCTGCCCTGACATCACAGCCCACACTCTGCCACTCAAAGGCACCTCGAAATTCTTACGTCAAAGCTGGGTCAACTCCCAGCTCTGAAGATGGAGTCACAAAGCCCTTCCCACAGCCTGTACCTTTCCCGGCGTTTCTAGGAGGCAGCGGGGGTGCCTCCGCAGTCGGCGCTGTGGGTGAGTCTGTGCTTGTGGAGACAAAGATCTGGTTGGTGAAGGCGCCGTAGGAGAGCCGTTGTTTGTCCCGCGGAGTGCTGAAGCCCGGCAGTGACAGCTTGTCCTGTGGGGAGGTGCTGGAGGAGTGGCAGAAGCTCTGAGGTCTGGGTGAGCGCTCTTTCTTGATGGGGCTCGGCTGGCAAATGAAATAACAGTGCGGTGGGTCAGCTGATAGTCCAGGATGACGCTTCAGGTGTCCGGAGGACTCTGCAGGGCAGGCTCAGGGGGGATCTGGGCTCCTGTGGCTCTCTGCGTTTCTGGGGGGTCAGCCACACAAAAGCCTAGGAGCCACGACACAGCACAAGGGAAACATCCAGAGAGTACACTTCTCACTCTCCTGTCATTACCAGGGTCCCACCAGGGACATGCTGGTTAGGGAGCATTGTATTCAGAAGTAGAAGGTCACACGGATTTAACCTTTAATCCACAAATACCTCCCCTGTGCAGGGCACGTTCACCAACAACTGAACAGTAGCTACTACATTAACTTTTCCATCCCTGCTCAGCCCTTTAACGTCGAAGCTCTCCACACTCACCTCTCTCCTCATTTTACACCCTCTCAGGAAGGAGCCTCATCTGCACCCCTGGCCGTGACTGCCACCTAATGTTGGGGACTCGGGCCTGTACGTCCAACCTCAACCTCTTGGATTCCAAACACTTTCAACCACCCATGACGGATCGCTGGCGTTTGCACTCGGCTCACAGCATCAGCACCCATGCAACTTCCCAAGTGGGAAGTCTCCCAACCTCAGTGGCATCGAGAGCCACCCAGTCCTGCACGGAGAGCTCAGAAGTACCCCTCGGACCCACAACTCGTGCAGGCACTCACCAGCACCCCCTGGACCACTGGTCTCCTGAACAGCCCCTGCCTCAGTTTCTTTCAGCTCCAGCCCATTTTCCACGCTGCAGGCAGAGCTGGTAGGAAACCCTGCTCTCTGACAGCAAAGCTCTGTTGGCCTGTGCCTGCTCAGATGAAAGCCAAAGGGCTGAACTTGGCCTACCACCCCCTTCACGCCCTTCCTGGTCTAGGCTGCCTGACACTTCAGGGGAGCCTCTTGCCTCTCCCCACCCAGTGCATGTGAAGGCACCTCACACCTCATCCCAACCGGTCCTCTGATGTTCAGGCCCCATGATGACCCCCAGCCTCTGCACATGCTGTTCTCCCTCCCCAGAAGGATGCACTCCTTCCTACTTCCCTGCCTGGCAAGCTCCTCACCACCCTTAGAAACCCATCTCCCACAGTGTTTCCTTGGTAAGGTCTTCACTGCTCACCAAGGCTGAGGCAGCCGCCCTGTCCTCTGAACACTTCTCAGGAATTTCGCCAACTCTTACTATAATGGTTATCTTGACTGTGTCGTAATTGAGCTTCTCTTAAAATGGTGAATGCCATTAGGACCCCTCGGTAGGAGCACCTTTGACTACTCCTTACATCCTGCCTGGGAAAGAGGAACCAGTGGATCCACAGCTGATGAAAAATGCACGCAGGAACCTTCAGAGGTAGCAACCGACAAGGGATTAATCTCCAAAAATACACAAACCGCTCAGGCAGCTCAGTATCAAAAAATGAAACAACCCAATTAAAAAATGGGCAGGAGATCTAAATGGACATTTCTCTAAAGAAGACATACAGATGGCCAAAAAGCACATGAAAAGATGCTCAACATCACTAATTATCATTGAAATGCAAATCAAAACTACAATGAGGTATCACCTCATACCGGTCAGAATGGCCATCATCAAAAAATCCACAAACACTAAATGCTGGAGAGGGTGTGGAGAAAAGGGAACCCTCCTACACTAATGTAAATTGGTATGGCCACTATGGAGAACAGTACGGAGTTTCCTTAGAAAACTTAAAACAGAACTACCATATGACCCAGCAATCCCACTACCGGGCATATACCCAGAGAAAACCGTAATTCAAAACGATACATGCACACCTCAATGTTCACTGCAGCACTATTTACAACAGCCAGGTCATGGAAGCAACCTAAACGTTCACTGACAGAGGAATGGATAAATAAGATGTGGGACATATATATGATGGAATATTACTCAGCCATAAAAAAGAACAAAATAATGCCATTTGCAGCAACATGGATGGACCTAGAGATGATCACACTAAGTGAGTCAGACACAGAAAGACAAATATCATAAGATATCACTTATATGTGGAATCTAAAAAAAGGTACAAATGAACCTTCAGAGGTAATTCAGAACTATCTATGATAAAGCCACACAGAACTGGGTTTAATCCCTGAGACTGTCTTTACTCGCTGTGAGACTTTAGATAAACCACGTGATTTCCCTGTCAGTCTTCTCCTCTGTAAAGTGGGACAATGACAACACCCCAATGGGCTTTTGATAGAGATGACCTGAGGTGACACGTGCTCGCTGCCACCTAGTTCATATTTAAACACTCAATCAGTGACAACTTGTTATTTATTAATTAGCTGTTTTGATGACTAATTTTATGTGCTGACTTGGCTAAGGCTATGGTGCACAGGTGACTGGTCAAACACCAGTCTAGATGTTGCTGTGAAGGTATTTTTTATATGTGGTTCACATTTAGGTTAGATTTTGAGTAACAGGGGTGGGCCTCATGCAGGCAGTCAAAGGGCTTAAGAGGAAAGACTAAGGACCCCCAAAGGAAGAAGCCTTTCTGCCTGAAAACTCAGGACTGCACCCTCAGCTCCTGTGGAGTCCCCAGCCTACTGGCCTGCCCTGGGGATTCTGGCCGGGCCCGCCCCAGGCATGTGAGCCAGCTCCTTAAAATGAATTTCTCTCCATCTCTACACCACACACATACCACACGCAACCCCACACACACCACCCACCCACCCACCCCTACTGGTTGTTTCTCTGGAGAAACCTGACCAATACAGCTATTAAGTGGCACTCAACAAGGATCAGAGACTAAACAAAGAAAATGGCCCTGGTGAATCAGGTCATAAGACCAAAATCAATCTCACAAAGAATGGGTCTTATCTGTATAGTGGAGAAAACCTGGGAGAAGGGCTAAGGAATCAGAGGCACTACGTACACTCACTTTGTCATCCAGATCATCATCGCTTTCATCCATCTCCTCCTGTCGAAGATTCCACTCATATTCTACGTGGACATGTGGATTGAACTTTCCAGATTTAGCCTGGGAAAGCTGAAAGTAACAGCAGGTGTAACCGCTGTAATTTCAATGCCAGGCACCCGGACATTATATAAACACTGAGCAAATCCCACCTCATTCCTGGTTTCGGATTCATCACCAGTAGCTGCACTGCAGGCAAAACTCTGATTATACAAACGGGACTGCCACAGGACAGACTGAAGAGGAATTGCGAAGAATTACGGGTGAAGCCTTTTTAATTCTGGTAACGTGACTTCTCTCCAAAATTAAAAGCTTTCTCAATATTATTAAAATAAGCCTCAAAACTGCAAATTCCCGCTGGAAGGCAAAATCAGAGTCACTGAAGTGCGACAGGTAGGTCAGCAGGCCTTTAAAGTCAGACAGTCCTGGTTCCACCCATGGCCCACTTTCTTAGTCATAAAATGGGGCAAGGGTAACTCCAACGTCCCCAAAGCATTCTTGTAAAAATAAAGACGTACAACTGCTGGGCCTGGGTGGGTACTTGGCACTTAGCAGGAACTCAAGGGAATGTGACTTATCTTTCCTATCTTACCCTTCCCTGTGGTTGAGAGAACCATGCTCTACGCAAATGCCCCGAGGTATAAGCAAGAGCTAGTGGGACTGGAGGTGTGTACACAGGATGGGGGGAGGGGAGGGAGGGCACTGGACATTCTGAAAACCATTACACTCCGAACTTTACTTGCTCAATTTTTGGAACTGGCTTCCCAAGTAATTCTTTCCAAAAAAAAATTATTTTTGATTTTTGGCTGTGCCGCACGGCTTGCAGGATCTTAGTTCCCTGACCTTAGTTCCAGGGATTGAACCCAGGAACTGCAGTGTTTTACCCACTGGACCGCTAGGGAATTCCCCAAATAATTCTTTACTGTTAAGCTACAGAGAAAGACTAATGTCTGGCAAACAAAAAAAGCAGCACCTTGGGACTTCCCTGGTGGTCGAGTGGCTAAGACTCTGTGCTTCCGCTGCCGGGGGCTCAGGTTCGATCCCTGGTCAGGGAAGCAAGATCCTGCCCCCGCCCACCATGTGGCACGGCCAAAAAAAAAAAAAATAAGCAGTTTGTCTGGTAATAAGACCTCTCAAATGCCTTTTAGCTGCTACACCATAACTGTACTCAAAAGACATGGATGACAAATTTATCATTTTACCATTTTTTCAAATGTAGCCTGAGTGCTTGTCTGGATTTCTTTAGCCAATGTCCAAAAAAAAAAAAGAGAGCAAGAGAGAGAGAATCTGCTTCTCTCACTCCAGTCGTGGTTTCAGAGAACACCCTTTTAGGGCAGTTGGGCTCACCCCTCTCCCACTCCGCTTACCAGATCTTCACACTGGGTGGCCTTCAGTCTCTTTGCTATGTCCAGGGCAGTCTCTCCAGCCTGGTTAGCTAAAACAGGTGGAATACAGTTGCATGATTATCTAAGATACATCTTGAAAAGGCAAAGAACAATCCTCAGATGACAATGGAACAGGCATGTCTAGGTTTCAGCCAACTGAATGCTCTCACCGCAGTTATTAAAAGACGCTTGGCCACACTTACCGACATCCACGGTGGGTTTGCTCCTGAGAAGCAGCTTCAAACACTCAGGTTTACCATACATGCTACAGTAGTGCAGAGCCGTGTTCCCCAGGGCCGTCTGCTTATCCAGGTTCCCACTGAAAAATGAAAGTATTAGAAAAAAAATGACTTGCTCTATAACTTAAAACTACAGATGAACCACTTTTCCCCATGCTAACAACTGAGTCAAATTTGCGACCTACTTCTTAAAAGCAGGGAAGATGATGATGTTCCTAACATGACACTTCCATTTATAAGCAACATAATGACAATAACAGCCAGCATTTATTGAGTGCCTACTGTGTACGGGACAGACACACGTCTCCTACGTGTATTAGCTCATTTAGTCTTCACAACCACCTGACGGGGTAGGTATACTATAACCCTTATTTTTTAGATGAAAACAGAGAGGATGAAGTGCTTGTTTGCGAGACTGTCGAGACACAGATGATGGAGCAGGGATTTGAACACAGGCAGTGTGTCTCTGGAGCCAATGGTCTTAACCACTACGCTGAACCACCTCTATGGAAGAGGCTGGGCGATTGTACAATCTGGCTTGTGTCCAGGCACCGTTCTCCGTATGTGAGTTCAAATCCCCTCACTATTTTAATCGCTCTCCTTTGGATGAGCTCTAGTTCCTCCTCCTAATCTGTAGCTTACAGAACTACCCAACAAAGAATCCAGCAAGTCTAAACCTGCTGTGTCCAGTATTACTCTCCTATTAGTATATCCTAAACTTGAATTAGCAATTGGGTCAGCCACACATACTGATCTCTTACCATGAACTTATAAACAATGAAAACTCACAGATCTGTTACCTTGAGCTGTTAAGTGTCCTCTCTTTCAACCTCCCTTAATGCAGCAGGTTTTGGACACAGAGATAGGATTTTACATTTATCTAGGCCAAGGGTTGGCAAACTACAGCCCACAGGCCATATCTGGCCCCCTGCTTGTTTTTGTAAATACAGCTTTACTGGAACATGGCCATGCTCACTTGTTTACATACTGATTGTGGCAGTTTTCACACTATGATGACAATGCTGAATGGCTGTGACAGACACCTCATGGCCTGCAAAGCCTGTAACAGGATCTGGCTCTTTGCTGAGTCACGAGGTAGGCCGCCAATAGGGCTGGTTCGCGTTAACTCACAAGGCATATCCAGAGAAAACAAAAACCGTACCAGTTTTGTACAAGGAAGTCAACCAAGTGGAGAGATGTCTGGTCTGCAGTTCGGACTGCAAGATGAAGGGCTGTCTCCCCGAGCTCCTGAAAGGAAAGGAGAAGTATAAATAGGGTGGTCAGAGGTCCTAGTTTGCCTAGACAGGCTTCATTTAAGTCAGCTGCCCCAAAGTAATTATTAATAGCAGCCCCTTTCACCCTCAAATTGTCCGGATTCAGACACGATCACTTAATGTATAACAGTCTCATTCTGTGGTGTTACAATAAAACGAGTCATCTTTTCAACTGATTTCCCGCGTCCCTCTTCATCCTGATTTCAGTGAAGCTGTACCTGTCCGGGTTCCAGCAGCGGTTCCATTAGCTCTACCCCCTCTGCATAGACTTGAATTAGTGCAAGTAAATCCCTGGATTTGATGGCCTCAAGCAATTCATTCAGTTTAGCTGACGAAGATGAACAGGTCTTCCGTGAAAATCTATGATCTACATACTTTGCAGTGATATATTCCTTCCGTACAGTCCTAAAATAGAGCAAAGCAAAATGAACTAAGACTTTTTATTTCCCAAGAGCTAAGAAAGATTTACATTTTCTGACAAACAGTTCTCTCTGAGAAGAGTCATTTTATGTTATTTATTTATTTATTTTTGGCTGCGTTGTGTCTTTGTTGCTGTGTGCGGGCCTTCTCTAGTTGTGGCAAGCAGGGGCTACTCTTCGTTGCAGTGCGCGGGCTTCTCATTGCGGTGGCTTCTCTTGCTGCAGAGCACGGGCTCTAGGCGCGCAGGCTTCAGCAGTTGTGGCACGTGGGCTCAGCAGTTGTGGCTTGCGGGCTCTAGAGCACAGGCTCAGTAGTTGTGGTGCACGGGCTTAAGTTGCTCCGTGGCATGTGGGATCTTCCCGGACCGGGACTCGAACCCGTGTCCCCTGCACTGGCAGGTGGATTCTTAACCACTGCACCACCAGGGAAGTCCTGAGAAGAGTTATTTTAATTAAGATACACTTCTCTTCAACGTTCCAGCAAACAGGTTTAGACCAAGTTTATTCTAGCAAAGACAGAATGAAGACACTGACAGGAAACTGAGGCTCAGCACAGCTGTCGTTGAAGCTCCAGAAGGACACAGACGGTGGTCTTTCCTGCCATGCCCAAGTGGGCCTGGTGCATTTCTCCTTCTCTTCAGGACCTACCCCCTCTCCACTTCAGTTCAAGTGGTTCTGGCCCCACCTCCCAGCTGCAGGGGTGAGTCTATGACCTCAGTGGCCTGATGGTCAACTTAAGGCTGAAATGGACGCTGGCTCAGAGGAAAGAAGAGACAAGAGTCAGGAGAGTGAGCTACGGTCCAGATGATACTGTCTGACATCCTGGGTCCAGCTGTACCTGAACTCACCCGTTACATGAGCCAATTAATAAAAAGACAATGAATGGATTTTGGGTTCAAATCCTAGTCCTACAGCAAACCAGCTGTGCAACGTTAGGTAAACTACTTAATCTTTATGACCTTCAGTATTTTTTTTTTTCATTTGAAATTGGGGACCACACTCCATGTGTGGTAGCTGTTACTGTTTCCCACATCCCACAGCCTGGAAACACTGTTTAAAATAGCGCTGATGCTTTTTTCTTTCATTCTGGGTTGGCAGCAGAGAGCTGGGCTGGTTGACGGTGGCACAGAGCCTTTGGTGAGTTGCAGGTTCTGCTCGGGAACCAAGATCGTACACTCAAGAGTGTCCTTTATGCTTAGGTCAGAGTCCTCCTAGAATGGCCGTAACCTGATGAATTGGAAGACTTCCAGATACCTGAAAGGATGGCCTAAGCCTGGCTTCTGAGACTTGCTGTGTGTGACTTACATCAAGTTTGAAAGGCAGCTACTGTGTGGTGGATGGAACACCAGACTTAAGAACTAGATGGCTTAATGCAAGTCTGATACCACTTGCTACCTCCGTGACCCTGGGTAAATCAAGTTCTCGCTCTGCCTCAGTTTCCTCACCTGTGAAGTATTAGAAATCATACCTGCCTTACTTACTACCTTCCAGGTATGGAACAAAGAATGATGCACGGCTATGGGTTCACTTCTAAGCTTCCTTTCTACTCTTATCCAAGGCGGGTAGGGCTAGGATCCATGGCAGGGAGGGAGACCTAAACTGCAGCGAGCTCTGCAGGTGGGCTCCTGTGGCTGGAAGCATCACGCAGATGCTACCTGATAATCCAGCAGAAAAGATGCAGAGGGCACTGAGGTATTGGCCCCAGGTCACCTAGAAGACCACCTCCAGCCCTGGCTCTGCAATTCTGTGGCTACAACAAGTGTCTGAGCTCTCACTCGGCAGGATGTGTTTAACCCTTTCTGGGTACTCAGAGTTATCTCTATCTAGTCACATTTAGTCCCCCGGCAATGGAACGCTTTCTGGCATGGGGCACTAGGGAGGGTGGAAAACTGACTTGTCTGAAAGTCTGGATGCCAAGAGTTCTAGATGAAAGACAACTTTCTCCTTCTGTCCCCCACCAAACCCGGTCCTTCCTACCTACCCTGGCTCAGATGACGGTACTGGCCATTCACCTAGATGCTCAGGCCAAAAACCGTGAGCGTCATCTGGACAATTCCCTTAAACACCCCATGTTTAAACTGATGAGCAAATCCCGGTGGTTCTCCCTTCAAAATACATTGAGAACTGAATTGAACTACTTTCCACCACCTCCGCCGCTACCACCTTAGTCCAATTTATCTTTATTTCTCAGTGGATCTGGTATAAATTTCTCTTCAGTCTGTCCCCACCACCCCCTATAGTCTGTCCTTCACTCATCAGCCACAGCTGGGTTTCTCAACCTCCATCCTACTGACATTTTGCCTGGATGATCCTTTGTTATGGACGGCAATCCCATGCTTTGTAGGATGTTCGGCAGCATCCCTGGCTTCTATCCTCTGGATGCCAGCAGTACCCGCCCAAGTCACGATGTAATGTGTCCAGACACTGCAAAGTGTCCTCTGGGGGCAAAGCTGCCCCAGCTGAGCATCACTGAACCACAAGGATCCATTTAAAACATAACTTATCACGTCACTCCCTTTGTTTGACAACTTCTGATCACACTTAGAATAATAATATCCAAAACCATTCCACGACCTGCAGAGCCCTACGTGTCTGGCCCCATCTCTGTGGCATCTCCCAGCACTCTCCTGGCTCAGTTCCCTGCAGCCTCACCTGCCTTCTTGTTGTCACGTGAACACGCCAAGCCTGTCCCCCTTCAGGGCAGCAACACTTACTGTCCACCTGCCTGGCCTGCTCGCTCACACCTGCTCGTCATACCCTCTAGTTCTCAACTCAAATGTCGGGTCCTCAGATGCTCCCTGACCCCCTACACGTCAACCCCTCACTGTTATGTTTTCCTGCTGACACCAACTACCATGTGAACTTAGGTTATTTACTTTCTCATTCCCTGTGTTTTCCTCACCCCAGTCAGAATGTAAGCAGGATGGGAGCTGCCTTGTTCACTACTGACTGTATCTTCAGCACTTAAAAGTGTGCCTGAAACACAGAAGTTGCTTAATTAAATATGTGAGTGATTTAATCATGTTACAGGAGATTCACTCCATTCCTCTTGGTTGTGCCCAAATGAGAGAATAACAACAATAATGATGACAGCAGCAGTAAATACTCACTACATGCCCACAGCTGCTCTAAGCTCTTCTCATTAGTCCTCCCCATGCCCTAGGGGGTACACACTCTTTGCAGGTGAGGAAACTGAGGCTCAGACAGTCAAAGCTACTTGCCCAAGATCACAGTTTAGGAAGTGGATCTGAACTCCCAGAGTCTGGCAATAGCGGCTACGTTAGAGATTTGGAGAATCATGAGCTCTTTGAAGGGGAAGGCCTGACGGAGGCCACAGAGCTGACGGGGCGCAGCGCTGACGCTGTCTCCCACGTGAAAAGCAGGAAACAAAAACCCATGCTGTTATGAGATTTATCCTAAAGAAATGCCTTCGAGGTCTGGGTCATGTAAACACTTCAAAAACACTGGTGTGGGCAAGACTGGGCCGTGTGTGTGCTTGAGCACTCACTGTTACCACATTTGTGAAGTAACCCATGGATCACATTTGTTTGCAGTTGTTTTATGATCAAACTAGCTTCGGAAAGCCCTAGTTCTCAGTGTAATCTGAGCTCATTAGTGTGAAAAAGACATCCAAGCAGTGTTTGTGCTAGGACGATGCTTGAAGGTTGCTGTTAAGCCAGACGCTCCCCCAGATTAGCTTAGGATATTATATTCAACATAGGCCCCCAACATCCCTAACTCTTCTTCTGTGACACTTACCACGACTACGACTAAGTGATTCACTGTTTAGTTTCTTGGTTAACACCTAGCTTCCTCTCTAGGCTCTAGGTGTCATGAGGACAGGGTTTATATCTAGTTTGTGTTTTGACGTTTCCCCAGCATCTGACGTAACATGAGGCACAGACTAAACGTACAATATGCATTTGTCTAATTCAAGAAAAGACAAATGCCAAGAGGCCTCTGGGAGATCGAATTTCGTGATTTCAGGATGAAGAAAACATGTTCCTCAAATGTGCCTCATAAACTGCTTTGCAAATTTGGTGCCTGAATAACCAACCACCCAGGAGGGGCTGGCAAAACATTTAGGCTGGCGTCTACTTCACAAAGGCTTCCCTGATCACTCGAGTAGGAATTAAATCTCTTTTCTCCTATCTATCCACAGGATTTAAAAGTTTAAAGTGTAAATTCAATGTAAACCTTTTTGAATATGCTTAAAGATTCACATGACTCAACAATAAAAATGATATCAGAAAGTGTTTACTGAGGGGGTCCTACGCCCACCCCGGAGGAAGCGCTTTTATTAGTTTCCTGGGTATCTGTCAGTGTTTCTTCAAGCAAACCCAAGTTTAAATAAGTATATATGTTTATGTGTGTCCTTCACTGTCCAAATCTATTGGTGTCTGGGTCCAGATGATGAGTAGCGAGAGTTCACAGTGAGGGATTCATCAGTAGAAGTACCCAAAATCTGGCTCCTGAGTTTGGACAGGGTGCCTGGGTCGGGGGTGCGGGGGCCTCTGTGCACTTGTTCCCACGCCCTCCACCCTTCCCTGCCCCAAAGGCAGCGTGCCGTGAACACTGCACTCACTGCACCTGATGTTTCCACTTGACAGTCATCCTGGAGATCATCCCAGATCAGGACAGAAGAAGCTTCCTATTCCTTTTTACATCTGCAAGGGGTTCCGCCGTGTGGTCATACCACAGAATATTTCATCCTGTATCTACAGGTAGACACTTGCTTTGTTCCTAATCCTTTTCCATTACAGAACAGGAAGAACTTCCCAGAAGTGCCATTGCTGAGTCAGGGTAATAAATAAATCTATAATCGCGATGAAAATGGCTAATTTGTCCCTTATGGATAGTGTACCATCTGTACTCCCACCAACAACACAGGAGAGGAGATGTCTGTTTCCCCACAGTCTGGCTGAGTGGGCTGTGAAGCGTTTGGCTTTTCGCCAATCTGATAGGAATCTCCCGTTGCTTTTGTATGTCTCTTATTTATCACAACATGTGAGGATTAAGAGATAATTGTCCTTACGAAGATTTATCCTCCACAGAGCACCTGCAACTACCTAGGGAAAGGTGATGATGAAAATAACCGGGTCATTCCAGAAATATGTCTCAGACACTTTACTTTTCTCTGCTTTTTTCTCATAATGAAATTTCCTCTGGGGGAAAAAAATACTACAACCACTGAGAAGTTTTGGGGACAGAAGAACAATTATAGAACAATAAAGAATTCATTGTATTAGAAGTACTTACATATCACTTGAAGGGGTGGGTTTTGGTGAGGGGCTGGGTAAATTTGCTTCCATAATATCATTAAAACTATTGTTTCCTACATTCTTGGCCAGCTGTAACATAAACAAAACACAATATAGCAAACTCCTTACTACTAGTTTAAAAGTTTCCTATTATTTGCTTTCGAGATTTCTGAATACGTATTTTCCCTCATTTGACTCAAAATACAAACTGTCCATCCACCTGGTCAACAGATAACTTATGGAGCACATACCCTGTGCCAGACACTGAACTTCTGAGCGCCGGAAATACAGAGATGGGCAAACCATGTTCCCTGCTATAGGAGCTAATGGACTAGTGGAACCATGGATAAGAAAACTAATCATTTTCACAAACATAATGTGATAAATGTTAGACTAGAATAGGATGTGGTCCTACACATATACATACACACACACACACACACACACACACACACACACACACACACGAGATTAGACAGAGCAGATTCCAAATATGAATCTAGGTTAAATGCTTAATGGACAGCAATAGCTTCTCAATTACCATCACAACTCATTTCTAGATAAAGCAGATTTACTGTTACTGAACAGACAAGGATGTAGGATTCCTTTATATTTGGGGCACCAATTAAGATGCTGCAGGCGATTACTGAAGAGGCCCCAGGAACCATTTTGCTTCTGGGTTCAAGACCCTTCCAAGAAAATTTGTCCTGAAAGGCTTTTGGTCACTGAGATAATTTGGGGATTGATGTGAAGTTTATGAAACACTCATGTGATCAGGTCTCTTGGATTTATCACATAGTTAAGTGTTTACGATGGACTGACACCATTTTCATACTAAAGAAGAACGTTTCAGGTATTAGGTCCGAGCCTTTTCTCTATGACCCTGAAGTGAATAGGGAGCCGTGTTTCAGGAGGATACTTCCTAAATCAAGGGGCTCAGGCAACACAAGACAGACCACCATTGCTTAATGGGTGCTCAGATGACAAAGGCTGCTGGCTGGGTGACTACCTGCCCTGACTCTGGGGTACTTTGCTCCCGGCAAGGCTAGTGATAAGCTAGGCTTTCAGATTTTTTGAGCCCCAGGCACACTCAGGTCCTGATCAAGAGCCTCCTGTGTGAGGAGAAGCCCTACTTTACTTCGAACCCTTTCACCCTTAGTAGAAGGACTCTCTCACAGGCACCAGGGTTCCAGTTATGCAAGACAGGACTGATGGCCACAAGGTATTATACGAGATGCCATAAGTAGGCCTTTCCTTCCTTCATTTGGTGAACTGTGGGACCAGTTTAACTTGGACCTGATGAGGGTCCACTTTCCATATTATAAAGCTATACACCATAATGGCAAGCAATTTTTTCCCTGACCACCTAAAGAAGTTACGGGTTAAGGAGTGGTTGGTTTATGACAGTAGCTAACAGGCCACTCTCAATTCATGTGTACTTTTACAAACTTACAAACAGTAAAAATAGAGAAAAACTCTTTGGTTACTATCTTTAATAACATAAGCCACTAGATAAAGTGAACATGCGAGTTCAACATCTAACTCCCTTTACTGCTATGACAGTGAATCATATAAAAACTATTCCAAAAGAAGAAAAGCAGCTTTGAAAAAGCCTATCCTAGAAGAAAAGAGCCATTCAGTGGTGCTAATTATAGAAATGTATGATTCGCCAGTTCTTCAATCAGGAAGTAGAAACAGTCAATGTTACATACCACAAAATTTACATTTTAAATACCTATTTAAATTCACTAAATTCAGGAACTAGAATTCTTTGCACTCAGCAGAAACAAAAAACCCCAAAGCAATATACTAAATATATTCATGACAGGTCACTACTTACCAAGAGTTCAGAAGTTCCTAATTTGTCTAGTTCCAAAGACTGAATGCGGGAAATATGAACCCCCATTTCCCTATGGATGCCGGAACATTCTATGCAGGTCAAAATCCCCAAGTTGGTTGAAAGCCAGGTGGGTTCTGTGGAAAGGATTTTGAAGACAAGATATCTAATTTTTAGTGTGCCAACTACAGAGGAAGCTAAAACAGTAGTAAAATTTGTTAAAAACTATAAGGGAAAAATTTAAATGGAAGAAATGGATGCTTGCAGTTTAGCCTAGGGACTATTATAAAAACTAATAGCTTGTTAGAGAGCAAATTTTAAGACAAATTTTAAAACTATCCCTTCAATACTGAATTGAAAATAAAATTCAGTGCTTTATTTTTGTGAAAATGTGAGAAAGACTTTGCCCAGGAGGCCGAGGAAACATCCTGACAGTGATAGATTAAAGGCCTTCTAAGTACAGCTCACAAGGGACTGGGTTCTACAGCCATCGTTAACCTCCACGCTACAACCCAACTTAACCCGTCATCCTGGTTATGGCTTCTGCACAAGCACCTCTTGGTAATAAGATAGCTTTTTCTACAACCCCCAAGGGCCCCAGAGCAGAGCCTCCTCTGCCATACCCTGACACTGTGTCAGTCACTGTCACACACGTACACAAAAGCAGAAGATGTGAGACTTGCCTCTGAGGTGCTTATGGCCTGTTGTATACAGGAGCCCATCTGCACTAGTAAAACAATTAAAAAGGAGATCATAATGCTTAAGGATAGGTTTGCACGACATTCTGACCCCTACTAGATGTGTGACCTCAGGCAAGTCAATCAACTTCTCTGATTCCCCCAGTTTTCTCGTCTGTGAAATGGGGATAATTTTAGTTATCTTGCTCAGAGAGACTCTGCGATGATTCAGTACGTAAAGACCAGCAAAACAAATATCACAATCCTTATTATAACGTAAGCATTCGATCAATGTTAGCTACTGTCAATACCTAAGTAACACAGATGCCATTTGAAAACAGAAATTTGGAGCAAGGGGACACCAGTGTGATACAGAGGTTGGGGAGGTTTTACTGAACGGAAGGAAAGGTACCGTGTGCCAGCCAATGTCATATACACCATTTCACTACACCCTCATAACAGCTGAGGTTTGTTATCCCACTTTCAGGATGAGGAAACTGAAGATCAGAATAGTAAAGGGACTTAGTATGAGGTCGTCCAGGCTCTGAGAAGCGGGCGGGTGATTCCAAACCAGGATGATGGACTCCGTGTCCAGTGCTCACCCCTTACTGTCCATTTAACTGGACCTTACAGGAAAGGTGGCATTTTGGCAGGTGCCATTTAGGGAGAGCAGGCGAGGGCTTCCCAGGTAGAGCAAACGGCAGGGGTGAAAGCACTCAGAGGTGGGACAATTCACCCACCTCTAGGGCATACATGTGTCTGTGTCCACAAGGAGATTAAGGCATTTTAATAACCTGCTCATTTATATTCTACAGGAAGAGAAGGGATGTTTAACAAGCGGCTGAAGTCTGGGGGCAAATACCTGACGAGCCGCAGTCGCAGCAGACATCATTGCCTGGGAGCCGCTGGACGTCCTCAATGATGGCTTTCGTCAGGTCCTCCAGGCTGTTCTCCCCCGCGCTCTGCTCTCCACGGAAGGCCATGGTGAGGGCCTCTTCTTTGCTGTTCGTCAGCACTGATATCCACCTGTTGTCAGAAACAGGAGGAGGAGACATAAGAGCCTGGTTGGCCATTGCATTCTCCTTCCCCTGCAAAAGAATCTGTTTTCATGCAGAACTGGCAAAAGAGACCTCCCCATAGCAATACAAAGAATGGAAAACAACACACAGGAGAGAGCTAGCGAGATGAGAGGAACAGATGAGAGGGTGAGTATCAATGACCAACGGCTTGCGTGAATACATAGGCGCCTGCGTTTCCACGGAGACAGAATATAAAGGGAACGTCAGGACGAAGAGGACTCAGAGTGGGACCAGCCTAGTGCAAGGATGAGAAAGAACAGGTGAGAAAGGAATAGGAGGCAGGAAAGGGAGTTTAGCAAAAGGCATTGTTTCCTGGGAGTCCATGTCAGCGGGGGCACTTAAAAGTGAAAGTGAAGGGGTATTTCATTTTCCATGAAGATTCATGCTTATGAAAAAGGTACATTAACAATGGAAACACATGATGTTTATTTTATGAAATGAAAAGTGCAGGCTATTAAAATATATGTACAGCATGACCACAATATGCACCCAACAAAATAACCCTTTGCTACTAATCTATGCGTAAAACAACCTAAATACCCAATAACAGGGGTTGATTAACAAAGCCTGAAATAACCACAAAGTGGACTAGTTAACCAGGTATTGAAATTTAAGTTTCCAACTAATTTTTGGATGACTTTGGGGAAATGATCACAATGTTTTGTGAAATAAAAAGGAAAAAAACTGTCATATGACATAATCTCAAGTTTAAATATATTTGTGAATTATATATTTTGTTTGGGGAAAAAAGGGATAGAAAGAAACTCACCAAAATACTGGTTGTCTCTGAGTGATTTTTTGTAGAAAAAAACAGATGGAACACTTGACTCTATTTTTCTGTAACTGTTTGAATCTATAATGAGTTGTATTACTTTCATGAATGAGGAACCAAAGCCAAATTAACTTTTTTAGAAGAAAATCAACAAGAAAATGAGAACAAACGGTGGTTTAGAAATGTTTTTCATTTCATTTGAATAAGTAATAGAGACAGCAATGAGGATTAAAAACCAAAGCAAAGTATTAATACCTGAATAGGTGAACTGCAAGTCATACCTTTGACTCTAGGTGGCGCTCACCCTCACTGTTGTGAGAAAAAGGATCGCACAGCTTAGCTTTTCTGCTATGAAGCAGAAAACCCAACAACTGTTCAGGAATGGAGGGGATGGGGTGGGCATTTAATACCTTTTAAGTTAAATAATATTTTTTCTATCAGTAGTCTCAAGTTATAAACTAGAAATTGTTCTCTTAAAAACAAGTCAAGAATCTGGGTTCCACAGGGCAGATCACTGTGCACTTAACAGCAGCAGCAATGATGATGCTGGAGTTTTCACTTGACTACAGAAGCCTCTATTTTGCTTTCCTTAGGCATCCTGAGTTTTGGCTATCTGATATTACCAGTATCTACTACGTGCCACATACTTATAATTTCTGAAATATAATCCTCCAACAAGCCTCTGAGTTAGAGTTTACAATGCTTTAGAGAAACAGAAGCCTATAGAGAGATTCAGGGACTTGTCCAAGGCCCTAGAGTGGGACTGGTGTCAGACTGGGAAAAGGAAACAGTTCTGTTAACACCCTTTTTTCAGAGTTCCTTTTCTTATGCCACATTTGCCTCTTTATTTGAAAACTCCTGACAAAGAAATTAAAAACGTTTGCCATGATAATCTGAAAATACATATTTAAAGTACAATTCATTTTCTGGAGGAATAATTCAAATTTGGTGAAATGGCTACATTTCAAAAGGGTCAAGAATTAAAGCAACTATTTCTGCCAATTCTTCAAAAAACTTTAAAATTATTTTAAAGTAACAGGCATACAAAAAAAGTATTAAGAAACAAAATAGTGCATAACGGTGTTTTAATACTTTAAAAGTCACTTTGAGTTTACAGGAGTAAAAAAAAAAAAAAAAACGGGCACTGTATGAGAAGCTTTACACATTTGACCTCAAGCCTCAAAATCCTGCAAGCGAGGGCTAGAACCCATCTTACTGACAAGAAGGCCGAGGTGGGACGATCTTTCCAAGGTCACAAAGTCACTACCGGGCAGATTCTGGACTAGAGTCAAGTCTGCCTGCCTTTAAACACGCAGCTGCTCTTCTGTCGTACCTGCCTCCTTCCACAGCGAGACGAGAAAGGATTTCTCTGTTCAATTCACTGGACACTTTCACATGAGAAAACAACTCAATGAGGCAGTGAAAATTCCTCCGTGTAACTTGGAGGAAAATAAACATCTTTCTGTGCAGGATGCCAGGACGTCTTCATCAAAACCAAGTCCCCCCCCTCCCATCACTACCACCAGCACCCAGAGAGAAGGCAAAAGGTATGAACTGCTTGAACACTGAATAACCCCCCCAAGGGCAGATGGTGGGACTAGAAATGGAGAAGGCACAGTCCTTGTCCTCCAGAAGCTCTAGGCGGGCTTCCCTGGTGGCGCAGTGGTTGAGAGTCTGCCTGCCGATGCAGGGGACACGGGTTCATGCCCTGGTCCGGGAAGATCCCACATGCCGCGGAGCGGCTGGGCCCGTGAGCCATGGCCGCTGAGCCTGCGCGTCCGGAGCCTGTGCTCCGCAACGGGAGAGGCCACAGCGGTGAGAGGCCCGCGTACCGCAAAAAAAAAAAAGATATAAAAAAAGAAGCTCTAGGTCTCCAGAGGGCTTGGGCTGAGCCAGTGGATCCAGAGGGGTGTGAAGTGGGTGCGGGGCAGGAGGGAGGGAGCAAAACCCCCAGGGCGGTGTGGCTTCAGCAGAACCTTGCAGGGGGCACCTGAGTTTACTGAGCACCCTAGACAGAGAGGAGAGACACATGGGAAGGCCCAGAGGTGAGAAGTAACCACCAGGATTCTCAGTAAAAAAAAAAAAAAAAAAAGAAAACTTAAAGGTATACTGTACAGGACAGAGATGCTTTTTCAATGTAAGGCATTGAAATAACGTGCCGTTATTTCAGAACTACTTACGCTACATAATCCTGCTCATCTTCTGCCTGAAAGTGATACGTCCTATTATCTAAAATACAAAAAAAGAGAAAAAAGCAAAACCTTAGAAAGCAGAATACCTTAGGTATTAATGCAAATTTTGAAAGTTCCTGGGGGGTGGGGAACACATTAAAAGCAGGATTTTAATATAATTTTATTTTTGCAACATTTTGTTTTAGCAGTTACACGAGTCACTTTGTCAATGTAATTCTTCTGAAGGGCAACAAGAATACAACAAAATAACTGCGAATGCCACGTGAATGCCTAGCACTTCTTTTGAAAAACAAGTGGGAAGGGGGACGGGTCCCTACCTGGTCAAGTGGATCTCGGTGACAAATCGGAGAGCGCTACCTGCGAACTCAGTATTCTACTTTTCCTTTTCAGTTTCCCTTTCACTGGCTTTCCTTTTTAAAAAATTCCTTTCCAGAAACGATAAATGACTCACAGGGCAGCCCTGACAAGCAGGCACATCCTGCCCCAGGCTCCTCTCTGGTTGAATCAGGCTGCAGGGAAGAAGGGCTCAAGCCTTGCTGGAGGATCATCCTCAAGCTGCGACTCAGGTAAGGAGAGGGCAGCTTAACTTGGATACTTTGGGCAGGTGTATATGAGGGAAGCTCTTCCTTAAAATGTGGGATCTGCTACAATGTTTCTACATACTGAGGTCGACTTTACTTACTAGCCCGTCACTCACTATATGACTGGCTCCAGGGTAGGCCCCCCTCCCCATCTCCCTGAGAGAGAGGAACACGCCACAGGTACTAGAGCCCAAGCGTCTCGGCTGAATCCCTGCTTTACCACTGTGAGACCTTATGTAAGTTGCTGAACCTCTCTGAGTCTCAGGTTTTTCTTCTGTGAAACAGGAAACTGACAGGGCTTTTGAGAGGTTTGCCCATGTTTATAACGCACCTGGCACATATTAGACATTCAATAATTACTATTAATAACATATGGATTCTCAAATCGAGGGGTTCTTAACTTTTGAAGTCACAGTATAATTCCAACTTTTCGTATTTCTCATCAGTAACCCAAGAAGTCTCACGGTCATAAAAATCATGGGGAATCTGAACTTCAGTAAGTGCTGTAGAATCCAGTTTAGACTCCACCCAGAGTCTCACAACTGAGTCCATCTTTTGGGCTGGGACTGTTTGTTCCATTCTCAGGACTACATCACAAGGATTTCAAGGGACAGGAAAGTACTTTTGTGCTCTACACACATAGATCATAGGCTGTTGGTTGGCCTGTCCTGTGGGGCTCTATAGAGAAGGATGAACACTGAAGGTCAGTGCTGGAGGATTTCAGAATATTTGTGAGTCACTTCATCGGCACTGCCATCCTCTTGCTTTACAAAGAGATGTCCCCTCAGCTACCGTGAACACCCATGGGACTAGTGAAAGCACAGGGAGCCAGACTGGAGGAAAACAATCTCCCCTCACTCTGAAGACTGTGAGAATACAGGCCATCAGTTGGGGGGGGGGTGGGTCACTGCGCAATCTCATCACAAGAGAAAAACACACTCTGACCCGTGGAATAAGACAGTGACAGAGCACAGTGTCATTGATTCATGAAGCCAGAAGGCAGTTCTGCTTGGAAGCAGGGAAATGGTTTTTCCTTCCAGGGCTTGATTCTGCAAATCAGCTGGACAGACACAGTGGCACACCTGTGTTGTCAAGTCTATGTCTGCGCATCTCAACCACAGCTACACATTAGAATCACCCAGGGACTTCTTAAAAAACACCTATGTCTGGGCCTCACACCAAAGACTGATTCAGCAGATGTAGGAGAGAAATGGGAGTGTGCTTACAAAAATCCTTCCAGGGGGATAAAGCTGTGTACTTGTGGCCAAGAACTGGTCTGGTTTATGGCACAAATCTAGATTCTACTCCACTGCAGTCAGATCTGACACAGTTTTGCCTTCCCACCTGCAGGTGGGCTCCGTGCAGAGAGGCCCAGGGCTCTTCTCAGAGCTGCGTGTGCAGTACACACAGCAAGGAGCCCTCCTTGGGAAAGCTGCGGTTTCCAACCTAGAGAACGGGAATAGGTTGGTGGCAGAATGCACAGTAACTGACTCGGGAGAAAACGGACTCACGTGATATCAGGTCAAAAGACTTCTTGTCCTCGGCATTCGGTTTCACCTGACAGGTGAGGAGGTTCAACTTGGCGGGTTGCCTGTTAGACTGGACACAAGACGAAAGGGAGAAGTTACGGGCAGCATCGGCTGTTCCCCACAGGCCCAGTGCCCGTGGGGCAGGTGTGCAGGGTCATGATAAATTTGATACGGTCTAATTCACCCCACTGGAATTCTGAATCTCATTAAAGAAGGGGGAAAAAAATGTTAGGTGGCCTACTAAATGTCTTTTAACTGTGTATAAACATCCTGGTTACTAATCAGAATGGAATCGAGATAATCCATCTCGCTTTCAGTGAAGAGTGGGTATGACCCATGGAAATGTGCCTTTCTGGAACCTACACATATACAAGCTCGAAGAGTTGGCACTTTTCACTACTGTATCTTCCTGTGAAATTAGCTGAGTGTACTTTCTTCATTCACTCAAAATGACCCCAGTAACCAATCACCCCAAAGCCGGTGTCTCAGGCATCCACAAATTTTGGTTACAACACGAAATTTACACTACTTCTCCCAAAAGTACAAGGACAACTACTAGCGATGAGACACTGCTTAACGAGCCCCAAAATCTGGAGAGAGTGAAAGATGATGAGGATTTCCCATCACTTTCCAGTAGATCTCTTGGTCACACATATAATTCATACAGAGCCTGCAGTATCTAAATAGTCATGCTAATGTAGGCTTTACTTAAAAGGAGTCTTGCCACATAATCATTCTGGTCAAAACTCTTTCTTGCCCTCCTGCCCACATGTGTCCAAGATCACAGGCTGGCCAATGGTGAATGCCAGCTTCCGGAAGGAGCTGACCAAGGAGTGAAGTGCCTGAGTGCCTGGGCTGGGCTTTGCTTGAACAGAAGTCTGCGGAAATAAGCAATGAACTCTTTAGTCAGGCCTGCATGCCTACCCCAGCTGACAGTCATGATTCCGAAAATCTCCATGCCAGGAACACTTCCACCCACATCCGACTTAAGTCTTTAGGGAAAGCAGAGAGGGAGAGGGTAGAGACAGGTCCCATCAGTGGCTTATGACCAAGAATATTTCAACGACACGTGCTGAGCCTCTCACTCTCAATAATGGGCACCAGACACTTCATTTCCGTTTACCTTCCTGTTCTTCCTGGACAACTTCTGAGATCCTCCTCTGTGGTTTCAAGGAGATTAGACACAGAAAGCAACACGTTTTGTCCTGAGTCTATCTGTTCTCAAAGCAAGCTCTCTGGTGGGGGGGGGGAGGTGTGAGACCCCCAGGGATTTCATATTCTTTGCATGTACATGTGACTTAGACATGGAAACCAGAAGTAAAGTCCTGTACAGGACGGTTTTGCCTAAGAGAAACCAGGGCTCGGGAAAGGATTCCTGTACTACAGACCGACTGCCAAACCCAGGATGGGGAGGCAGAAGGTTGCGGGCCTGAAACGTTTTCTTAGATTAGACCTGACGTAGGGTTGCTAAAGGCCCCCCGTCTCCAAAACCAGCAGCTGCAACCACAGACCTTGGCTGGGTCCATTGTAAAACAAACTGTTTAGTCCCTCATCTTTTGGGGTGTTGATAAAATCGCTGGATTTCCCATATGATCGACAAAGACATCCGACAGGCTGGAAAGGTAGCGAGCCTGGTTAACGGTGAGACTTTGTAGAATACCACGTTCCGGTCTGGCATCCACATTTAAAGGAGGTGCAGAAAAGCTTAGGGAAGATCAACAGATGATTAAAGGAGTGGAAAATGGGAACTCTGAAGATGGTTTAAAGGCATCATTTAGTCAGAGGAAAGAGGGTGAGGAGTGACTTAATCATGGTCTACAAGGTCGTGAAGCGTTGTTATCGGGGAAGGTCTGCAGCTGTTTTCCATTTGCACAGAACTCAAACTGTCGAAGATTTGAGCCAGACGTGAGGAAGAACTTCCCAAGTTTAAGTTGATTATGCATAATAAGAGGTTTCAAGTTTCTTAACCTAAGTATAGAAATCTCTTTGAAAACCTTAAGAATTTTTGAGACACCATTCACATGTGAATGTGACAGAGGGTTACCCAGATGATTTCTTTTTTCTTCCCGAATGTTTGTGACTCCACTGCTTCTGAACAACCAACGTATACAACCAAGTAACAGAGACAAAATTTTAAAAAAGGGAAAAATATTCAGTTAAGTATCAACCGATCCTGGAAAACGAAATAGCACCATTCACCTCTCATTTCAAAGCATGGGCTACTTCCAAGTACATTACCAGAAAGTTTCTGATGACAAGGGTTTTGTACAGTTTAAGTCACTGCATGATTGACCCACAACTTCAGTGACAATGACATGTGACACTCCCTTGGAAGCTTGTCAAGTCTGCTGGACTGACATCTGCCACGTCAACATGAACTTCACTTGACACAGACATGTCTTGCCTATACATAATATTCTCCCCCCAAATGGCAGTGAGACAAAGGACCTATCACCCCAAACGTGAATCTGAAGAGCAGAGAACACAATTTTCGACAGGTGAGGCAGCCGGTGTGGCCAGTACCGAGCCCAGGAACACCAGGAAGGAGAGCAGGATGCTGAAGCAGATTACGTGGACCAAGGGACCAGAAAGCTCGGGATCACTAGTCATCACTGAAACCCCCAGTTTGTGTAACTTGCCAAAATGTCACAGTCCTTTCTCGACATTTAGTACTAATGTATAGGTATACCGATTAACAAAGATATAATCTGTCCCGGCGGTTCAGCAGACTAAAATCATAGTGAGACTAAATGACTCGCCCTGGGCTACAACACTGTGGAACAGTTTACGAACTGCTTTCATACTGTTTAAGTACAAGAAAGGATAAAAAGGAGAGGAAACGTATTTATTGAGTCCTCACTGTTGGTGATTCCTACCACACTCTGAATGAAAAGCCCAGGCTGTGCCAGGACCTCCAAGCACCACCTCCAGGCTCCTTCTGACTTTGGCCCCTGCCTCTTGGCCTGCTGTTCTCCCTGCCGGGCGGTGAGGGGCACTGGCCTCCCAGGGACACCTCCTGCTCGCTCCCTCCAGGACTCTCCCAGTCGGCACCTCCCCAGAGGAGTGGTTCCTGGCCTGACCACCCTCCCTAGACTTCCTACCCCTTCGCACCCTGCTGTGTTTTCTTCCTGGGTCTTCTCACTCCTATTTACTTCTTATCTTGCTTCCCACTAAGGGCACACATTTTTCTGCAGCAGGCACTCAAATATTTATCAAATGAACGAATGCATTCCAGGGTCCTTACATATACTATCTCATGTATGACCTGTGAGGGAACTATTTTAAGTTTCTTTTACTAACTAAGATGAAGAAGCAGAGGCACAGAGAGGTTAACCAACTTTCCTAAAATCTCCTAGAAAGGAAGCAGCAGAGCCTGGAGCGGAATCCAGGGTTGAGTGGACCAAAGGCCCACTCTTCCTTCCTTTCCGCTTCCATGGGAAAGACAGCCACACAAAATCCCGCAGGAGCAGCCTGAAGCCCCAGCCCACGAGAACACCTCCTTCTGAGAATAAGGATTACAAATAGAGCAAAGGTTCCAAAGATTAGCTTCTATTTTAATATCTTCTCAGGTCATTTGACTTTCAAAATTGACTCAAAGAGAAATTTTAGAAGCCTATTTGGAACACCTATTCACTTATTCATTGGAGAGGATGCCGATGAAGCCTCTACCACATCTAAGCACATATGAAGAACAGGCGGTCTGTACCGCCCAGCAGCTACGGGAAACAGACACGACCACTGGCCTAGGACGGGCCTGGTGCCCGGCGGGGCCCAGAGCCTGAGCTGGATTTCCATAAGGCTCCAGAGGCAGCCTCATCCCTGAGTGAGGGCTTAGAGGAGGGGCAGGTGCAGGCACCTGGGGGAATGCAAGGGACAAGGCGGTAGGTGATGCGGAAGGAGAAGCAGGGAGGGCGCTGCATGTGGTGCTAAGGACTCTTGTCCCATCCCAGGAGATCTGCAGTGCACTTGCATCCAGGGGGACAGCTGGTGGAGGAGGCCGAGAGAGTAAGACAGATGAGCAATGATGGGGGCCTGAATTAAAGCCAGGGTCATTGTACTGGGGGCCAGGGACTCAAGATACGGCAAGAAAGAGACTTTCAATAAATTATTCCCCAAGTAACCTCGACCTGGTATGCGGTTCTCCCAGGCTCTGCATCTGAACGATGAGTGAAGGGGCCTGCGGCCCCTGCAGGCTCCGCTGAGCAGCATCTTTCAAAAGCTACAAGTGCTCTACCCCAAATACAATTTTGATACCTTTCAAAAATGAAGATTGTTTTGGCTCTGTTCCCTGAAACTCTGAGGCTTGTCCTTATACAGGTTTTACTTTTCATTAAAAGAATGCATATTCACTGAGGAAACACTCGGAGCTAGACACAGTGCAAAGAAAAAACTGAACGTTACTTGTTAATCCCACTTTCACACCCAGAGACAGTCATTGTTAATACCGGATTTTAACAAGATACGGTGTGTGTGTGAAATGTCTGTTCTTAGAAAAAATGGGTTGGTTCAATTTGTATATACTGTTTTGCAAATTGCTTTCTCCAGTTAACATTATACAGAGAAGAGTTCATTTTTACACAAGCATGTGGCAAAGCCATTTGCAGGTTTTTGAAAATGTTTCCACTAGGGAAGCTCTGGACACGTTCCCTGCACAGAAGTGATGAAGGTATTAGCCCTGTGACGTAATGCTCTGCCACCCAAACTAGAGGATGCCGTTCAGCTAGGAAAGTCATCAGAAATGTGTGCACAAACAGAATGAGTCGATTCTGACGAATGTTTCTGCGTCTCCCGAAAGAAAAAAAAAACACCACACGTTGCTCCTTAGATTGCTCGGCATGCACTGCGGTGAAGTGATTTTGCTGGAAGTGTGAAGTCGTTAGCGCAGGCATATTTCTGTGAGCAGAAAACAGCTGCTACTGGAATTAGTGTCCAGAAATGAAGTTATTTCTCCCCACCATCTTGCTGAATTGCTCTGCTTCACAAACAAGAAGTGAACATCATTAATTACTTGGGAAATAAGCCTGATCCAGCCAGGCTGAGCCTGCTGTGTAGATAGAAGTAAAAATAAAA